AGGGCACGTCCCCAGTTCGAAGCCCACCCTTCAGCTCGGCCCACGCAATGTGCTGCAGCAGAGGAGCATGGCCCTTTGCCCAGCCCTGGGTGCCCATCACTGGGGATAAAATGGCTTTAGAGAGGTGTCAGGTCCCGCTTGCAGAGCCTGGAGCTGCTGCTGGGCTCAGGATGGTGCATGGAGGTAAAGTCCTGCTGCCGTGCTCCCCCAGCAAGTCCATGCTGGGGCACCCCCATGCCTGTGGCTCCCTGAACCCCAGATCCTCAGGGAGAAGCCCAGCGCATCTCCCTTGTTGGATTCAACATCACAAAGACCCAGTCTGTGGGTGCCTGGGTGGCACTGCCACGTGGCCGGCGGTGATGGGGCTGGCACCTGGGTGCTGCGGGCAGCCTCAGCCTGGCCTGGCCATCCTCACCTTCAGCTCCTGGAACTTATATAAATATATAAGTGTGTATGTATATATATACATAGATATATATGCATATATGTATACAAAAATAAATGGAAAGATAAAAAAATATATAAGTGTGTGTATATATATAAAAAATATAGAAGTGTATATATCCATACTTATATAAGTATATATACTAGCTGCTCCAGGAGCATATAGGAGAGTGTGTGGTGTATATATATGAAAATAAGTACATATACACATATAAAAAAATTTACTCCTGGAGTGTATAGGAGTGTGTGTGTGTGTGTATATACATGTTTATTTGTGTGTGTGTATATACATATTAAAAATATATACTCCTGAAGCATACATTTATATAGATGTCCCATGTCTTATGGCATCTCAAGCACAGGGAAAGGTTGCAGCAACAAAACTGCCTCCCGGCTGCAAACAGCCACCAAAAGGCTCCGTCATCCCGAGGGAAACCTGCAGGTGCCATTCCAGGTGGCACAGGGTCCTGGAGCCACCACCCGCCCTCATGGGGACCCATGGCACCCCAGAGCTTTGTCCTTCCCGCTGGGGACTGATGCTAGGGCTGGGCATCCCACGGGACCGCAGCGCCCGTGCTCGTGGCACTGCAGGCTCCTGTGTGCCCGGGGGTTGGCAGAGGGGCTGAGCCCCACCACGGGAGCAGAGCCGCTGGGCAGAGGGTGGACATACAAGCAGGAGATCATAGCCTGCAAAAAGGCTGCTATTTATTGCAACTCAGATGCCACCGGTGTCCTCCAGGGACGTTGATGAGGTCACTGATGGCTGCGGTGAGGAATGTGGAATAATTTTGGTAGTACTGCGGTGGCTGCTCCAATTTGGGGTCCCAGTCTGTGGGGTGATCTGCTCAGTCCGGCTGCGGGGAGCCCCATGCCAGCTGGATGCTGGCTGCACGAGGATGTCACCCACGTGGCCGGGGGACATTCCAGTGCCCCCATCCCTGGAGCTGCATGTCCTGGGGAAGGCAACCAGGGACCATTACATCCACTTTTGGGGGACAAAGAAGGAAAGGGCCATTTCCCCACATGTAATGTACTCACATGAAGCCACTACATGAAGTGTCAGCTGAATATATACTTATATCCCTACAACCCTGGCTTGTGCTGTGGAGCTGATGGAGCTCCCCAAGCCCCTCGCAATTCCCCCTCCAGCACAAAATACCCCTGGCACTGCCATCCCCCCTCCCAGCGAGCACTGAGAGAGAAATTTCCTATATAATTTAAGGAACCCGTTGTCTCATGCATGTTTTGTTCTCATTGGAGTTTCCCTTCCGAGTTTATTTTTGGTAGGGCCTGAAATAGGAAACGAATTGTTGGCAACGGGCTCGCTTTTATCACTGCTCGTCGGCCAAGCCAAAACAAATATGCCTTTGTCCAACCCAATGGCTCCTTCTTCGGTTTGGGAAATTGGGACAAAATGGGAAGAAGATCAGTGTTGGTGGAGGAGAGGATGGGCCACAAGTGCCACTGTGCTCCTCTGCTTCCTCTGGATGAGGTGCCGGTGGAGAGGAGGGCTGGTGGCCGCTGGGCAGGTCCTGCTCCATTACAGCATCTCCTGCCAGCCTCATCCACTCTGTCTCCTCAGCCATGGGAGGCCAAGCAACGTGCTTAGTCAAGCCATCACGTCATCACCAAAAGCCCGACCTGTCTCTTGGGGAAGGTGGCTCCTGCTCCATCTCGGGGAAGCAGAAGACCTGGATTTGCTTCATATTATGACTTCTTCCAGTGAGTGGGTTCAGCTGTTTTTTTCCTTGAGGTCAAAGGTTTCTGCACGTCCAAGAAAGTGGTGGAAAGCGGCTAAGAAAAGCAAGTGTATTTCTGCTATGTATGATCTTTCTGGTGGGACTCACAGCTGCAGGGGAAATTCTATGGTTTTCAGCCTCTGCTGATTTGTGGACTCCTAAACAAAGTCCCCTCACTGGTGTCTATCGCAGGGTGCTGTCAGTCAGAGATAACCAAAGTGCAGGCCCTGGCGGGATGCTTGGAAAAGAGATTCACAGTCACATTATGCGGAAAAGTGAGACCTTCATGATGCTGAGGTGTGGCAATGCCTCATCCGTTGCAATGGTGATGTCCTTTATGGCCTGTGGCATCACAGGACATTTCTTGAAGAAGCATATGACCCGTCTGAGCTGGAAGGACCCTGCTGAGAAGAACCTGGAGTACCTTCATCTGTCGTCCTTCATCTTCCCAAGTAAAACCTGAAGGAAAGGGGAGGGGGAGTGAAGGAACTCTGAAAGGTGGCCAGGAGTCTGCTAAGCAACGCCAACAAGCTGTGTGATGTCCCGTCCCTTTATTCTTCAGCTTTGTGCTATGAGATGCTGCTGCTCCAGCCAGTGTCAGGTACTGCACTGGCTCCAGCTCCATGATGCTGAGCAATGCCAGGGAATGTACCGGAGCCCTGTCCCCTCCTGGATGCCATGCTGGACTGGCTGCTGTCCTCATTCCGGGTGGTCTCATCCCATCCTGGTGTCCACCAGCTCCCTCTATCACCTCTGTGATTGCCCTGCGGTTGGCCTTTTGGTCCAGTGGTCTTCTCCTGGCCATCATCCCCCCACCATGGGCAGAGCTCGGGATGGCTCAACCGTGGGCATCAGTGCTCCCAGCTCCCACAGGAGCGGACAGCCCTGCTTTCATTTCTCATGGCAGGGAGGGTCCCCTGCAGCCTGCGGCTCCGGCTCCTCCAGGGAGATCCGGGCAGAACGATGGGTCCTCCAGCCCCGTGGGCTGGCGGAGGCTCCGCTTGAGGCTGAAGGACCCTGGCAGGGGCAGAGCCACTATGCCAAAGGACCCAGCATTTACAGTCCCACGGGCAGCAGGCCCTGGGCAAGCACCAGGAGCGGCAGGACAGGCAGGGCTTTGCTGCCCTTGGTCCCCGCAGGGAGACCGCAGAGCCCCGCTGCCTTCCCACCGCAGGCAGTGATGCAGAGCACAGGCAGCGTGCGGGTAGTGTGCAGGCAGAGTGCCAGCAAAGTGCAGGCAGAGAGCAAGTAGAGCACAGGCAGCAGGCAGAAAGCCTGTGAAACGCACGTAGAGATTAGGTAGCGTGCAGACAGTGCACCGGCAAAGTGATGGAAGCATGCAGGTAGGGTGTAGGCAGGGTGCAGGCAGGACTGCTCAGGAATCTTGGGCAGAAGCCGTGCAGGAGAAAGCCCATCTCGGCTGGCCCCTGACCTTGTCCCAGCCTTGCCACATGGCAGCATCGTGCCTGGGGCTGTGTGGAGAGCCCCAGTGCTGCCAGGGTTGGCAGCCCCTTGGCAATGGGGTTAGAAAGCTGGGGTCAGAGCCCTGCACCCCACTGCCAGCCCCCTGTTTCCCCCCCAATTTGTCTCCCAGCACCCCAAGCACCCAGCCAGGGGTGGACTCTTTTTGCACAGCAGCCAGAGCTCTCTTGAGCCCCAGGGTCCAATCCTTGCTAGGCTGGAGAGGGTCTGACCACAAGACCGGTCCAGCCCCTGGGGCTCTTGCTGGGCTAGGGGAGGATGCTGGATACTGGGGGATGAAGGACTCCTCACCTTGCCCCCAGGGCTGGTCTTTGCTGCCAGGTGAGCACCCAGCAGCAGCCACAGTGGGGATCTGCCTCCCCACCCTGCCTACCTGCCTGAAACTGCTGCAAGGTCATCCACCTCCCCATTGCATCCTGCTCAGGACTGGGCTGAGCACCTGAGCAAGACCGGGCGATGCCCAGCATGTCACCCGCCCACCGAGAGCCTGGGGCATGGAGATACAGCACCCAGCTACAGAAGAAATACATTTTTATTAGGAAAGCGCTCTGCAGAGGTGCCAGGCTCTGTCGTACCGAACTAATCCCTCCAACTCCGCTGGATGGGATGCGGGAGCCCGAAGGGCATCCAGCTCTGGCCATAAATAGTGCTTTCCTCCTGGCCAGAAGCAACCCCAGGGGCAGAGGGGAGGGTGGCATCGGTCGAAACCAGCTCGACCCCACGCCGGGCATGGCTCGGCTGTGGCGGGACCGGCAATGGAGAGCCGTGCCTGGAGCCCAGGCCGCCGGGGCACGGGGTTTGCTGCCGGCGACGGACTCAGGGCACGTCCCTGATGATGCCCTGGGCACCGAGCAGCAGCACCCTCCCTCTCCCGTGCACCATGAGCCCAACAGACCAGAGTGGGGTGCGGGAAGCGAGCGGCTCCGTTACTGCAGAATATACCGTGGGTACGTCTAGTACAACAAGCACTGCTTATGCGATTGATAATACTGCTACAAAAAAGTGTGTGGGGGATATGACACGCACGGACCCCCCCCGCCCCGGGTTGGCGGCTGGGCCAGCTCCCTACAGTCCTGCCCTGCACGGGGAGGGCGAGCTGCCAGACCCGGGCAGGGAGCAGGCAGCAGGGCACGGATGGGGAGGACCAGGTCCTGGGGCAGGGGAGACTAAAGGAAAAAAGGGGATGAGAGAGATGGAGGAGGGGGGGAATGGAGGCTCAAGGCTCTTCCAGTGCCCCCTGCCCAGTCCAGGCTTCCATGTCCACTGGCCGTGCCGGCAAATGTCCTTCTTCCCGGCGCGCGGCCGGCCGGTGTGGGGCCGGTGCCCAGCTCCTGGTCACTGCACCGCCTGAGCAGGCACAGCGGCTGCTCGGGGCGGCTCCAGGCTGGCTTCTCGGCTCTTCTTCCTGGGAGGCTTTTTAATGGGGGTTTTCTTGGCCGCTTGCTCGTTGGGGAGAGCCTGGTCCTGGCCGCTGCCGGTGCTTGGCTTCTCCACCCGCTTGGGCTCCCCGGCTGCCGGCTCAGCCGCCCCAGGGATCAGTTTTTGCAGGTGGGGAGAGGTGGGCAGCAAGGGCTTGCTGGTCTTCTGGCCGCCGGCGGCCACCGAGCGCTTGGCTTTCTGCGGAGGGGTGGGCTTCTCCCGCTGGGCGCCCACCCCGTTCGCCCGGGTGCCTCCGTCCCCCTTGTTGAGGCTCTGAGTCTTTTCCTTCAGCTGGGCGGCCAGCTCGGAGGCCAGGTGGGGATGGAGGGGCTCGGAGCGGGGTTTGCTGGCGCCGGGGCTGCGAGGAGCATCCCTGTTGTCCCCGACCCGCCGCTCTGGCTGGAAGGTGCCCATCTTTCGGAAGGCATTCTGCACCGCCCCGTTGATGCTCTCCGTTGGCTCCGAGCCGGCTTTGCTCCTCTGCTTGGGCTTGGAGGGCGACTGGGGCTCCCCGGCAAGGCTGGCTTTGCCCTCAGGGACGCCGGGCTCCTTCGGTTGCTTCTGCGTTTTCTCCTTGCCCCGCGTGCCGCCCTTCTCCTCCACTCTGCCCTGCACGCCGGCTGACGTCTCACTCGGGCTCCTCTTCCTCTTGGCCAAGCCCTGGCCTTGCTCCGGGCTGCTGGACTGGGCAGCCACTCGCTCCGGGGACCGGCTGGGTGCCGGCAGCGAGTTGGACTGGCTGGAGTTGTACCTGCCGTGGATCCAGGAGACTTTAGGCTTCGTGGCCGGGTCTGGGGGACGGGGCTTGGTCCTTTCCGGGGATGGTGGCTTCCCAGAGCTGCGGGGCTCTGTGGTAGCATCCTCCTCCTCCTTAGACTGCTTGGAGAGACGAGCGACCCGGGCGTAGAGCGCGGCGCCGGCCGAGCCCGAGCCGCAGGAGGAGCGCTCGCTGTCTGAGGACTTGAGCAGGGGTGTTTCGCTGCTGTCGGCTGGGAAAGCTCTGACAGAGCCCGTTTCCTTCAGGAAGGTGTATTCGCCCGCTTCTTCCCCGCCTGCCGGGGCCACCAGCTTGTCCCCAGGGCTGGCGGGTGTCCCCCTGTCCCTGCTGTCGCCCACGCTCTCTGTGGGAAGAGAGCACGGGGGTGTCAGGTCAGGGTGTGCCCGGGGAGGGGAAGGACCGAAATGCTCCCACAGCACGGTGGGACGGCATCCCACCTGGTTCCTCCCTGCACCCCAGTGCGTTGCCAGGTTCCCCCGTTCCCTCCTCCTGGTCAGAGACCCCAGCACAAGAGGGCTCTTAAAACAACCCCCGAGCAGCAAACGCCAGAGGAGGGAGCTGTGAAACTCTGTGTGGGAGGCAACGCTGGCACCCGCATCCCTTCCCGGGGCACTAGGAGCCAGGGTGACATGGTCCCCACCGCGCAAGGGTGATGCCTCTCCACCGAGCAGGAGGTGGCCCCTGGTGATGGCCCCGAAGTCCCTTGGGGAAGCACCCGGTGCCCCTGCTCACCTTCGTGGGGAACGCAGTACACCGGCCCCTCGTCCGTGGTGTCAAAGGAGGAGAAGGAGCCGCGCGAGGACCAGGATGGGGAAGGCTGCTCCACCACAGAGGGTGGCTCGATGAAGCTGCAGTTCAGGGTGTTCTCCAGGTCATGGTGGGCCACTACGAGGGCAAGGAACTGCTGTCAGTGCCCATCCTGCTGGACCCCCCAGTGCCCACGCCAGCCAGGAGAGTGGGATGCTGCACAGCTCCCCCCTGCCCAACTTTCCAGTGGGTGTTGGGGACAGGGACAGCATCCCAGACATGGGGACAGCTCTCGCTGCGCATCTCCACCAGGTCCCCCAGCCAAGCATCCACAGAAGTCATCAACCCGCAATGGTGGTGACCAGCATCCCCCATGCCCGGAGACGAGTGGCTGTGGACAGAGCAGCCCACGCAGCCTTACACCTCCCACCTATCCCCACTCTCCATGGCAGGTCTCCAGCTGCCCAAATCAAGGATGTACGTGGCAGAAGGATGAGCCACCCAAAACTCTGGGTCCCACGAGGACCCAGCGAGCGTCCTGGCAGTCACCCATGAGCTGCGCGACCCGGCACAGCCACTTTGCAAAGAAAGTCCTGGCGCTGTGACTGTCCCCTTCCTGGGGAAAGAAATGAGCTGCCAGCTTTAATTGCACTAATTTCCACTTCAGCATCATGGTTTGCATTTCCCTTTTCCTTCTGCTTCTGCAAAAGGAGGTAGAAGGATGATAAAAGGATGCCTGTGGCAGGGGGATGCACATCACCGGTTTTTCCCAATTCTGCCACTTTTCACATGCTTTGCCAGCTTCTCCCATCCTGAAGCCGAGGAGAAGCATCCCCCCTCGCCCTGGTGCCGCCCCCTCTGCTGTGGGGGCTGACCGTGGAAGAGAAAAGCCACAAGAGAGGAAAAACTTGGTGTTAAAAATATTTTTGGTTTCAACAGTTAAAAAAAAAAAGCTGAGCAGTGACAGTTGTCTGGGCTGGGAGGGACTGGTTTTTCTGTTTGATCATTTTTAAGGCTCTTTGCTGGATAAGTTTATGTCCCAACCCATCCTGTGGGGCTTCCCCAGGTGCCTGCAGCTTCAGCATCGTCCTCGGGGTACCCGCAGGACTGTGGCAGCACCCAGCGGGGTGGAGGGGACCAACCCTCCCAGAGTGCTGGGCAGCACCAGATGCTCTTGTCCCCATCCCCTGCCTGCTGGCTTTTGTCCCCTGGGATGGTGGCAAGCTGCCTCCAAGCCCAGGCAGAGCCCTGCTTCGCAGCAAGGGCTGCAAAAACCCAGCGCACAGCCAGGCTCCCCCTGCGCAGCAGCTGGACATCGATATTTCCAGGTATTTATAACCTCTGTCCGCACATCCCAACCATCTAAGTCGCACTATAATTTCCTGCTCTGACTGTTTCATTTTTGCATCACGTCCCTGTTTTACAATAAAATAACTCTAAGTGTTATTGGGATGTCCACCAGAACATTTATTCTCTATTAGGGAATCTGGCTTCAGAGATGCAGGGTCATTAAAATGACGGCAGCGATGCACGCTCGTCCCTACACAGTTTGGCTTCTTGGAGAAAGGGAAAAAAAAAAAAAAAAAGCAAGCAGCGATATTTAAAGAGCAAACGGCCTGGAGAGGGGGAAGTGGCAGTTTCAACATGGCTTTCCTTGTAATAAAAACCAAAAAGGGAAAATTAAAAGCAGCCGGCTGGAAGCGGATGAAGGGAGATGCTTCCTGAGAGGAGGCATGACAAGCGGCTGGGACTCATGGCCACGAGGCGTCTCCAGGACTCGAATGAGACCCAGGATACGGCCAAAGGATAAAAAGAGGATGTGCAGCGCACTCGGAGCCAGGCTTGGGGGCTCCTGCGTGGTCCCCTGGGATTCATCTCCCCTAGCTGATATATCATGGGCTGATAGGGCCAGGAGAAATCTGGATGCTTCCCACAGGTCTTCTCCTGCCACTGCTCCCCAAAATCTCCCAGGGCCACAGCATCAGGGTGCCAACCCCAGCCCTGGTTCCCTGGCGGTCAATTAGTCTCAAGACAGGGACAAAGTGGCGAGGAGACACAGAAGGGCCATGGGAGGGTGGCACCGGAGCCCTCCTGGCTGCCCTCTCCCACTCATCCCAAGCTCCCTGTGGTCGGCATCACCCTCAGGGCTGGTTGAGCTTTACTGCTTAGCGATCAGATGCAGTGGTGGGGTGCAGGAGTGGGCACTGTGCACTGCAGAGCTCGGGTTAGTCCCGGCATCTGCGGGGCGACATGCAACCGAGACCCATGCTGGTACCGCTGACGTCCCGAGAAGCAAACCCCGTGAAACTCAGGCAGACAGGGATACCCAAACCCTGGCACCGCGGCCGCTGGTGTCAGGCCAGGATGTGGCCACGCAGGCTGCCAGCTCAGGTGCAATCCCCAGGGAGATGCTGCGGATCTGAAGCTGGTGCCAAGGCTGGGGAGCTGCTTTTGAGGGGGGCACCTGGGGCTCCAGGCACCCACTGAGCTTTGGTGGGGCTTCAAGACCTGCTGTCCCACCTGGGAAGGTGCTCCCATGCGTGGGCTTGTGCTAGCTGGTGGTGACCATGGTCACGTTTGAGCCCAGAGGGGAAAACCCACCCGGCGCCAGCAAACGCACGGTCACGGCAGCGGCTCTGCAAGGATGCGAGCAGATCCAGAGCGACCATCTACTGGGTGTCCTTGGCTTCAGCCAGCACCGGTTTCACCACAACATCCCTACAGGGTCCTGAGCACCTCCAGGGCTGACCTGGCACTTGGGATGGGGCATTTCAGCATCCTCTGGACCCTCCTGCTGGCAGGACCAACGCAGGACACAGATGGCCTCTGCCACCATGTACCGGCCACTGTGGCTTCCAGGTGGAGCCACACACTGAGGTGGCACCACGGTCATCAGGCATCACAGGGATGCAGCTGCTGCAGGCACCCCAGCAGGTCTCCCTCCCGCGGGGGGTCCCCAGACCCAGTGGGTGCTGGAGGCATTGCCGGACCGTGCACCAGAAGGACTGGGAGCTGCTGCAACCCACGCCAGCTCTGCTGTGCAGGACGACACGATGAACACAAGGCAAGCCCCGACCAAAGCCTTTCCCTCCAGTAAAACAACAACCCCCAACCCCACAACTAGGCTCCAGGAATAGCTCCAGCCCTGCCGGGACCCCAGACCATCCCGAGCATCCCTCCGGCACCGGTGCTGCATCCTCAGCCTTTCCCGGGGCTGCTGCCACCCTGTTTACACAGAGCAGCTGGGTGGGTGCCAGCCGGCATGGGGAAGGCGCAGGCAGCCCCCTTGAGCCCCCCCTGCCCTCGCCGCACACAGGCACCCTCTGTCCTCCCCGAGCCCTGCCCGGCCCCTTCCACAAACACGGCCTCTGTTATCCTCTGTTATCCTTGCAGCAGGAATGTTTCTCCAGCCCCGGCGCACCCTGCTCTGGGGCAGGGCTTTGCCGTGCCCCACGCGGCAGGCGAGGATTCGTCCTCCCTGCTTTGATGCTGGAGCTTGGGCATGGCGTGCTGGGATGGGGGCCATCTCTGTGTCCCACCTGGAATGGGGGATTCAGCCTCACGCCGAGCTGCTGCACGCTGGGATGCGGCTGCTCAGGGCATTGCACCAGCGTTGCACGCCTGGGGACGTGCTGGGCTTGGGAAGCGGGGCACGGGGCTGAGACCCATGCCAGCGCAGGGTGGGGAGCGCTGCCTTCGCCCCCCAGTTTATTCCCCTCCAAGGCAGCACATCCCCAGCTCCTCATGCTGGGACGAGCGCAGGGAGGGTTTGGAGCATGCGGGGGACAGTGTCCCCCAGCTGCCTGGATGCAGGGGGTCCCCAACAGCCCTGACAGCTCCAGGTCAGGGGCTTTACCAGGTGCAAGCATCCCCCTACAAGACCAGTTTGTGCCCAGGCAGTGTGGGGAGCTCACCCAAAAGTCTCTGCCCCTCCATCCTCAACTCTGCTGCGCACAGAGCCCACCCACAGCGGGGTGGGCTCCGGCCCCAGCTTGGATGCTCTGGCTCCATGCAAAACTGGGGCAGGGTTAAGTCAGGACCAAGAGAGCAAACGAGGCGTTACGCTGCCGCGACAGGGACTGTTCCTCTACCTGGGGAACCTAAAAGCCTCACAAAACAGCTCAGCAGAGCTCCAGGCACCAGGTACCCACTCTCACAAAGCAAAACGATGCGCTTTGAGATCCAGAAGCTGCCGACTGAGAAAGGGCTGAGCCCCTGTGAGCCAGGCAGCTCAAACCGAGCATTGCGTTGGTCCCGGGGACCCGTGTGTCCCCATCACTGCTCTGCCATGCTCACCGCCCTCGTTTTGGGGCTGGAAAGGATGCCGTGAGTCATGTGCACTGCCCTGCCAGGAGTAAAGCCCCCAGGGTTTGGCCCTCTGCCCCCTCCCCAAACCCCAGCACCTTACCCACGACCTTGGGTAACTTCTGGCGGCGCAGGGGGATGCGCGGGAGCTTCATGCCAATCCGACTGAAACGCCCGCACAAGCGTCTCGGTGGCTTCTTGGTTGCTGCCGGGTCCTGGCTGGAGCTGCAAGAGAAGGCGACAGCTCCATCAGAGGCACTGGCACCTGCCGCGTGGTGGGGACAACCTTCATGGGGCCATGGAGAGAGTCAGGAGCTCAGGGATGCTGCAAATGCAAGGGGTTTCAGGAAAGATAATGGGGCAGATCAAAGCATGGGGATGCCCAGGGCACAGGGGGTCAGGGACCTGCCAGGGCTGCTGCCAGCCCCGGGCACCAGCTTGCACCACACCAGGATGCAGAGCAGTGCCAGGGGATGGTGGCAAGGCCAGATCCGGCCATGGCCGTTGGCAGCCTGGCCCCAAAACACCCACAACACCCTGCCAAGACCCTGAATCTTTAAAAATAAAAATTATCCCAACCCTAAAACAAACACTTGGTTTCTCTTTATTTGCTCTCTGGTTTTGAAGCCTCCCGGGGCCGAGGTTTCAAGCAATTATCTGCAGCCGCAGGAGCGAACGGCTTCGCGTGTTGATGCAAGGCAACCTGCGACGTGCCTACCACTGCCACGGTCCCTCGGGATGCTCCGGCAAGGGAGCGCTGCTGGGACAGCACCGCGGGTGACCCAGCTGTTTCGGGACATTGTGGAGGTCCAGGCACCCGGGGAGAGAGGAAACTATTTTGAGCCATTTCCCCTCTCCCTGTGCAATACTTCAAGCGGGGCTGCATTTGTGCTTTTATCTGTGGGATAATTACACGCAGCCCCCAGGCTCTCCAAGCCAGATGTGCTGGGCTGGGATTGAGCTGGCAGGGCTGCAAGGGGAGGCTTCTGGAAAATTCCTGTGCAGCGGCCGGTGGCATGAGGAGAGGCTTTCTTCCGCAGCCGGAGGAGCTTCCATGGCCCGCTCATTCCTTGCTGAGCAGCACAAGCCTTCCCCCCACTGCAATGGGGCTGTCACCATCCCTGTCCCCATGGTGGGATGTCACGGGGTGCTGTCAGCAACCCAACCTTGCTGCAGGAACTCACCCTCCCCGCTCCGAACATCCCCATGCGGGACAGCCGGCAGTGCTGCAGCCCATCACCCCCCCTCCAGGTCTCACCCCAGGGCCCAGGGGTTTGTTCTGGGGGTCTCGGTCACGTCTCGATGCCCTTACTGTATTTTAGGGTTCCCTCTGCAGATCAGCTCCAGCCCCCTGAAGACTGGAGGGGACCTGGGGGGTCTCCATGAAGTAATGGCCCATGAGAGGGAAACAACATCAGGGAGAGGGGGAAGGGGGTGTCCCCAGACAGGGCTCACCCCGAGCCCCTCCATCAGCCCCCCAGCTGGGTGCTGCCCTGAGGACGCAGCGGGACCTGCTCAGACCCCAGGGACCCACAGTGCCAGGTGGGCAGCGCCGCTCTGCCTCAGTTTCCCCACAGCACCACCGTCCCAGTGAGGTCCCTGCATCGCCCCAGCGGTCCCAGCCCTGCACTGGTCACTGCCATCCCCAGCTGTCCCCAGACCCATAGCTCTCCCCTCTGCTTGGGCATCACAGCAGAGCCCCCCCGGCCCTGGCACTCACCCACGGGCTTCGTCCTTCTTGCGGCAGACGCAGCAGCAGCAGAGCAGGGAGAGCAGGAGGATGAGCAGCAGCGCCAGGAGGGCTCCTGCCCCGATCACCCCCATCCGCTGGTTGGCCTCTGCAAGACAAAAAACCGGCCGGTCAGCCCCGGTGATGGCCCGGCGGCAGAGCCCGGCACCCCGACCCGTGCCCGCCGGCACTCACCCATGTGGCAGGCGCCCGTCAGCGGGTCGCAGGCGCCGTCGTGGCAGCTGCAGGCTTCGGCGCAGTTGGCTCCGTAGCGGCCGGGCGGGCAAGTCAGGTTACAGCTGGAGGGAAGGGGGCAAGTGAGAGCCCTCGCCGCCCCGGCTGCTGCCTCCTCCCAAACCCTCCGTGCTCTGGGGAAAAGCGGGGGGCACTTCTCCAGGCTGCTCCGACACAGCCCCCCCTGCACCCTGGGGGACCCCCTAAGCTGCAGGGAGCAGGACCCCATCACCCACCCAGTGGCTTTACCCATCGTTCGGGAGATTTGGCCCAGCTAGAGCTCACACACTGTTGCTGCTCCCTGCGTGCAGCAATTAGGTGCAGCAATTAGGAAAGGTTGTTAACCCAGCAGTTGCATCTAAAGTCACCCCAGTGTCACATGCAAGATTTCCAGCTCAGCTCAGCAGTGACGTGGCCATGGCACTCCCGGGCTCCCCCACACTGAGCCGGGCAGAGCCACAGCAGCCATGAGCTGGGAAAGTGCCCAGATTGATTTTATTTTTATTTTTTGGCCTCCAAGAAGAAAAAGCAAATGAGCAGCCCTGAGGCATCCGCTCTGTCAGGGCAGACCGTCCCGGTTTGGCTAAGCCTGGCTTCAAATCCCTGGCGTCAAATCCCCACTGCTGGTAAAATGACCTCCCCAACAGCGTCACCAAGGCGAAGGGGACACACGTGGAACGGGCACCGACCTGCGAGCATCAAGGGCCTGAGCACAGAAAACACGTGCCAGGCACACGCCAAAGCAACCGGGGCTCTCGGTGTTGGCGGGACCACCCAACCTTCCACCCTGGCGGTGGGACAGGCACTGCGGTGCAGGACCCGGATGGATTTGGGGGATGCCGGTGGCGCTACCGGCCACCAAACCCTCCACCAGCTGCTCACCGGCAGCAGCATCCCGGCCGGAGCGGCTGCAGCTGTAAGGAGCCAGCGGGCCCCGGCCCAAACACACTCCCCTGGGAACGCAGCTGCCCCCAGCCCTCGGCGCCGTGCCCAGAGGCGGCTCAGCCCATTTCATGCTCCGCCGACTTGCAAAGCGCTGGCCTGGCCAAGCCTCGTGCCCGCCAGGCGCCGCGTGCCCGCCGGGACGGGCGCTGAGCCCCCGCGGCCGCTCGGAGCAGCTGTGCCGGGGCAGCAAACGCGGTGGGATGGGAGCTGGGATATTTCCCCGGCAACCCAAACCTCCAAACCCCACTACTTAGATCCACATTTCTGCCCCAGGCTGAGATGTTGGGAGAGCAGAGGGGGGCGTTTTTTTTCCAAGAGGGTCCCAACACCTCTGGGAATGATGATGAGGACATAAACCTCTTTGTGCACACCACAAATAACTTAGCAGCCTTTCCTTCAGCATCCTCCCGACGTAGAGCTGAGAGGACACCCCTGCCCAGTGAGGACATCGCTTCTGCCTTCCTTCCAGAAATCGTCCCCTTTTTAGCAAAATTATACGCTGCTGACAAAAACACTAGTTTGCACATAAGTCACAGGGATCCGCCTGAGCACCAAGAAAGTCCCTGAGCCCGCCCGGCGTGCAACCCATATGGCACAGCTCAGCCCGCAGTTACAGCTCCGGGATGCTGCTGGGGCCGGGGCTGCACCCCCAGCCCCCACATTCCTGGTGCTGTGCTGGGGTCTCAGAATAGTTTAATTCACGTGCTGCCCTTCGGTGCTGTGCCGAAAGCACCACCGCGCACCCCCAGTAAACACCAGGACCCACTTACCTCTGCCTTTGCTACCAAAGGTGGCAACGATGCCCAAGCTGGGCATCCTGAGCTGGCGCCAGTGCCCAGCCGGCACTTTTGGCAGCACGAGTGGTTGGCGAAGCCCCAAAAACACCCACGCAAAATGCAAACGCTCCCTGTTTATATGCCCTGAGAGAAATGCTGGCATGGGCAGGATGCCAGCTCTGAATCCCTGTCACTGCCATCACCCTTACAGTTAATTGCTGGGAAAATCTGAGCAACACCCCGCAGGACCTGGGGGAGCTGTTTGCATGCCCCAGACGGGTGGGAAACACTTTCTTTGCCTTTCAAACAGCATTTCAGGCCCACACTGGAAAAAAACACCAGGGCATGCAGGACGTGATGTCCCTTGTGCCTCTCCCTTGGGCTGGGGGAAAGGGGGAGGACTGGGGGGGCTTTTCCCAGGGGTGAGGAAGACCTCGGCTGGAGGCACAGCTTGCAGCAGGAGCACCCTGCAGATGCCATGCCCATGAGGCTATTTGCTATTCTGGGATGTGGTTTTCTCTCTCTTTTCAGCTAGAAATTCCACCCTAGACTTGAAAAAAACCAAACCCCCCAACAAACCACCGTTCTGTCAATGGCATTTGTTTTTGCCAAATAGGCATTTCCTAAAGCAAAACCCCTCTCTCGTGGCATTACCTTGCTGCTAACGGCTCTGTAAGCGTGTCCTTTCCCCTCCGCTCCAAAAATCATCGGAATTATTGCCCACGAGCACTTCCACCGCAGGAAACCTCTCAGCTGGGAACCGTGTAGGACCCGAGGGGGCAGGAGGTTCCTGAGCATCGCCCGTGCCCTGGGGTGCACCCCGAAGCGTGCCTGCCGTGGCTCACTTACTAGGTGCCGTGGGAGCCGGGGTGGCAGAGGCACCGGCCGGTCTCGAAGTGGCACTGGCCGTTGACGCAGTCGCTGCAGACGAAGGCGCAGTTCTCCCCATACGTCCCATTCCGACACTTGGTTTCACACCTGGGGAGGGATGAGGGCAGGCGGCTGGAGCACCCACAGCTCCTGGGGACCTCTGGCATCCCCCCGGCCCTCCTGCCTGCAGGCAGGGAGATGGGGCTGTGTGTCGTCAACCCTGTTTGGGTGCTGCTAAGCCCCAGAACCAATCCTGGGCACAAGAGCCTGCGCGAAATCTTCCCAACTTGAGAGCTGAGCCCCACCGCGAGCACCCAACGTTACCTAGGGGTATGGGGCAGGGGTCTTGCAGGCTCCCTCTGGTCCCATGGCTGTGCCAGCGGGCTCAGCCCATCCCTGCCCTCCCCTCCTGCCTGCAGAAACCCACAGCCACCCCCAGTCCCTGGGCAGGGAGCAGCAGGGAGGCTGGGCATCGCTCCACCGGGGTCCGACTCTGCACCCAGCTGCACTCACCGGTCTCCGATCCAGCCCGGATTGCAATGGGAGCACTTGCCATTGATGTGGTTGCAGGTGTGGCCGTCCTTGCAGGGGGGACAGAGCTTCTCGCAGCCCTCTCCGTAGAAGCCAGGCGAGCAGGGCTGGTCACATTTGGTGCCGTTCCAGCCCGCCTCGCAGGTCAGGCAGCGCCCATCCGCCACGGTGCACGGCTGCAGGCTCTTGCACTGCCCGCACCTGCAACGGCCGAGGGGGAGCCCGTCACCCAGCGCAGCATCCCCGAAACCTCCTCCTGCCACCTCCCACCGAGCCCACGGTGCTGGATCAGGCCTGATGGTGTCCAGCCACTCACCGCCTCCTGCAGCCTTGGCCATAGAAGCCAGCCGGGCACGGCTCGCGGCAATATTTTCCCCGGTAGCCCGGCTCGCACGTGCAGGTCCCGTCCACCTGGTTGCACTTGCCCTTGTAGCACTGGCAGTACCGGTCACAGCGGGGCCCGAATGTCCGCTCCCGGCACTGGCAGCGGCCCGTGAATTGCTCGCAGGGCGAGTTGTTGCAGGAGCACTGGTTGTTGCAACCGCGGCCCCACCAGCCGGGCTGGCACAGGCAGTTGCCAGTCTGCTGGTCACACTGGGAGTTGTGGCTGCAATAGCAGGAGCTGGAGCATTGGGGTCCCCACCAGTTGGGCTCGCAGGTGCATTTGCCCGTCTTCTGGTCACACTTGCCGTGCTTGCAGAGGCAGACATTCTCGCATTTGGGACCCCAGCGGTTGGGGTTGCAGGTGCACTGGCCTGTCACGTCCTCGCATTGCCCGTTGGGGTGGCAGCTGCACATCTCCTTGCAGTCGGGACCCCAGAACTGCCGGGGACATTCTGTGGACAGAGCTGTTAGCCCCAGCACTGCCCGTGGGACAACCCCACCACTGGGCACCAGTGGAGACCCCCAGTCCCAATGGGACCTCTCGACCGCTGTCCCCCTCTCCTCCTCCCAGTGCACTGGATCTCAAAGGAGACCCCTCCAAAGGGACGATGCCCTGGGGACAAAGCCAGGGGGACACGCAAGGGCAAAGCAAGAGCATCTGCAGCCCCGTCCCTGATGCTCTGCTCTGGAAAGTCACCCCAGGATCAGCCAGCACCACTCCAGCGAACCCCGCCGAGGACACGCGGGCACCTGCCAGTACTCACTGGTGTCGCAGTTGGCACCGAAGTAGCCGTGCCGGCAGCGGCACTCGCCGGGCCTGACGCACACCTCGTTCTCCTTGCAGGTGAAGTTCCCATCGCACACGGCTGGACAGACGGACAGACAGCAGGCATGAGCGCAAGTGCCACTGGGTTCTTCCCTGCTCCCCCAATCCACCCCCCCCAGCCCCGCAGAGCAGGGTAAGGGGTGCGTGATGGCACTCCGGGCGCTGCTGAGCTGTGGCACTGTGACCATCCTGGCAAGCAGCCGGGCAGGCTGGATGGGACCCTCACCAGAAAAATGCCACCAGCCTTCTGCCACCCTGTTCAGCTCCATCCCTGCCACCAGCCTCCTGCCACCCAGCCCAGCCCTGTCCCTGCCACTGGCTGCACCCAGCAGGAACGTCCCTCGCTCAGCTCTGTATCGCCAGCACAGGCAGCTCTGGGTATGGGCTGCCTGCAGGCGCCAGGGGAGAACGGGGACATGGGGTGGGGGGGGTTGCAGGCAGCGGCGAGCACGGTCCCCCTGTCCCCCTCCCTGCATTCCTTACAGATCGCAGCCGCGTCACTGCCACCCCCACCACCGCCTCTCCCACGCGGGCCACCAGCCCCCAAAGGCCACTAGCCCCTCTGCTGCCGAGGGGACCTTGCGCTGGAGCCAATGCCCAGAGCGGGGCAGGCGCAGGATGTGGGACAGGCAGCACCGCGGTGCAGGCAGGCGCAGGCAGATCCCGCATGGCCCTGGACAAGCCTCCTTAGCCACCGGGAGAGGGAGAGCAGACCACCCATCCCATCCACCTTACCTGGGAGTTCTTAGACCTACGGTGATGGATACTATAGAAACCCCTAAAATAGACAGATTACACAGGTTAGGAGCAGTGAGTCTAACGGTTAGAGCAGGTTGGGGGGGGCAAGGAGATGGGGACAGCTCGCTGGTGGGACCATCCTCCCCCCACTGTCCTGGCAGACCCTGTCCTTCTCCCGTCCTGCCAGCATGCTGAAGGGACCGCGTCCTGCTCCCGGTGCGCGGGCACCCAACGCATGCAACGAGCGGTTACGAGGGCTCATGCACGGTGGGTTAGTTGGTTACATGGTCTTCGCTGCCAGTTGCAAACTGCTGATGCCCCGGGCTGGTGCACAGAGCTCCTCCGGCTCTCCTGGGGCAAGGTGAGCCCCGTGGCCAGCTGAGACTGCGGGGAGTAGCACAGGAACCCCAAATCAGCCACCTGCATCGTGGCAGCAGTGCAGGGGATGACAGCTCCTGGGGCTTCATGCTGAGCATCCACGCCGGGCTCGCCGTGGCCCCTGGTAAGAGCTGTAATGCCTGGCGTAGCCCCAGCTGGGGCTGCCCTGCCTGCAGGCAAGGTGGGTCCTGCCTGACAGCCTGCCTGCCCCAGCAGCTTCTCCCCAGTGGGGCCATGACGGACATGTGGCTGGTCCTGGAGGCTTCTCCTCCACTGGTGGCTCTGGCTTGGCTCCCCATGCTTCTGCAGCACCCCTGGGAAATCTTGGGGTCCCATCCCTGCAGCTGCACCTTCCCTGTCCCCATGCATCACCCTGCGGGGACAACTTGCTGTCCCTGGGGTCCCAGAGCAGCACCCCCAAATCCTTAGACCCGAAGCTGGCTGGCATGAAGAGAAACCCCCCAGCTTGAGAGCGGGGGTGATGCTCCCCATGGAGGAGCCCGCTGAGGGCTGGGGCACCCCAGGGCATCACTGTGGGGGCAGAGGGTACCCCAGGGCTGGGCTCTGTGACCAGCACCCCAACACTGGGGCTGAGCACCCATTCCACCCACACACTGCTGGCTTTGAGTACCACAGAGAGGCACGACAGCCTCCAGCATCCCTGGGGAGCCCGGCTGCAGACAGAGGCCCCCAGGACAGGGGTTCCCCACTGTGGGGTACATCAGGGTGGCCCCCAACAGCGGTGTTGAGGCCAGGAGGGCTCAGCAAAGTATGGGCAGATAAGCGGTGTCCAATGAAGCAGAATGCTGGTGCTTACCTATTAAACACTCGCTTCCCTGTTGCCTCCATCCCGGGCAGCACACGAGCACCGAGGAGCTGCAGGGGAAAAAGAAGCACCACAAACCTTAGAAAGTCCTGGTCCTTCCCAAAACCCACCTGGAGCATCAATGCCGTGACGGTGAGAGGTAGTGCTCCTGGTCAGCTGAACCCTGGCCGGGGGCTGCTGCACCCCTGTGGGGCAAGGAGAGCTCTTGGCTCTTCCTCCACCACGCAGGCAGCACAGATCTGCTGGGGGGCTCCAATGGGCACCGGCTTGAGATGCCTCACTAGCCAGCTGAGGCAATGCTGGGAGTGAGGACAGGACCAGCTCCTCCCATTAATCAGGAGTGATGAAAGAACGAAAGTCACATTTGCAACCATTATTGTAAAAAAAAAAAAATAATCCCAAAGACCCCCAAAAGCTGGGAAAAAAAGGGAAGGCTCTAAATGTCCCAGGGGAAAACCAACTGCCTGTAGCTGGACACCCGGCTTGACGCCCAATGGCTGGGGACTCACAATGCTGCAACCCAGGTGTGGGGAATGCACTCCCAGTTTAGTGACACCGCAGTAACTCCCGGAGTGGGGGAATCCTGCTCATCCCCGGTGCAACCCGCTCATCCCTGGGCTGACCCCCACCGCCTGGTCCCCGCTGGCGACGGGAGCGATGCTGGAGCGTTATAAACAGCCCGAGCGGACGCTGCAGTCAAGGAAAACTTCACCCGAGCTGGTCCAGCGCCGCAGCTTGGAATGCATTTTGCTTTTTCTTTTTTTTTTTTTTTTTTCCCCTTTTCCTCTTTATATGTAACAAATGCAGAAGAGGAGGAGGAGACAGAGAGGAAGTATTAGCTCGAAACCCAGCGCAGTCACAGGACCGTGTCTGGCTGCCAGACCGCCTTGTCCTGGGGCCGGGGAGGGAGCTGCCAGCAGCCCCCCGGCCAAATGCGGGTACCAGGGAGGCTGGACTCAGCTCCCACCGCTGGCCCCTTGGTGGGCAGCACCCGCACAGCCGAGCTGGGAGCATCGCGTCCCCCTTTTAGCGGTGGACGGTGAAAAATTGGAAAGGAGGCAGAAAAGAACCACAAAAATGATTCAAGGCCTGGAAAAAATGCCTTGCAGCCGGAGCCCAAAATAGCTCCATCTATTCAGCCGTCGAAGCCGTCGCAAGACGCTGCAATGGCGCCCGGCACATACCCCCCGCGCGGGGACCCCGGGGCTCGAGTGGGGGGCTCTGCTCTGGCCAAGCATGCAAGGGGATGCACGGTGTTAATGGCAAAGCGGGGGTCAACCACCAAACCACCTCCCCGAGGACTGGGTGGGCTGGAGACAAGGTTCTTCTCTGCAAGAGCCTTCAGGCTGCTCTCCCCAAAAAGCCTCTCCAGCTGTGCTGGGATGCTCGGGCGCAGGCGGGTAAGTCTGTGATGCGCTGACCCTCCCATGGCACAGCCAATGCACCCGCTGTCCCACCTGGGGTTGCTTTCACCGCTCCACCCTTTAGAAATTCAGTGTTTGGTGTTTTTTAGATGAAACCATCGCAGGTTTGCAAGGGGAAACCCCTCTGCTTGGGAAACCTCCTCCCTCAAACAGCTCAGCCTGGCCATCGAAGCGGGCACCATGGGTGATGCACCAAAAAGCATCACCCGTGCTGAAAGCCCCGAGCTGGTGGCGGGGAGTTGGGAGCCGCTGAAATACGGTGGCAGGAGGGAAAAACCCTTCCCCTGCTGCAAGCTGGAGGAGGCAAGCGGCACCGTGACCACCACTAGACGGGACCCCAGCCCACCCACCGCCTTGCCGGACGCAGGATTCGTGCTTATCTTTTCACTGATAGCTAATCTCTCCTTCACCGTGCCTGCTGATGGCGTCCCGCACCCCTCCACTCAGCCCCCGCCTCATTTATCAGCGGCTTTGACAGCAAATAAACTTGATCCCGTTGCAAGGAGAGGCAGCTGGGATGAGGCACTGGGTAACTGGTGCTCCCAGTGCAGCACATGGACTGGTCCCTGAGCACGGCCGGCCCCAGGTAGGGTCGGTGCTGGCTGCAGAGATGACCGGCACCCATCAGGGCACGGGTCTAAAGCATGTCCTGTGGTCTCAGCTCCTCCAAAGAGGGCTCACTCCATGTGCCCTGTGACCACTGGAACTGGGATAACTGGGAGATCTGTTTAAAAGCTCACCCCTGACCCACACGGACATGCTGCTGTGGACATGCCGCTACAGACATGCACAATGCAAATACATTTTCTATTTCTTCTCTTCAAAGCACTACAAACACTGGGAAAAAGAAGAAAGAAAAGCTGCCTCCGAGATGTGGCCGGGGCTTGGGAGCTTTGCTGATGTGGAGCAAAAGGAGCGGGGATGTCAGCAGAGCCGGAGCTGTGACCTGCAGGGAGGACCGCGCAACACCATCGTTGCCCCCGGCATGTGGCCACATCCTGCTCACGCCGAGCATCAGCGGGACCTCCACAAATGCTCTGGGGGTTTCTACAGAGGCAGAATATTTTTCTTGTGGATTAATATTCCGCATTGCTCCCTGAAGCACATCCCCTTTACCTATGGCTATGGAGAGGGCTCCTGAGATGGGAAGGATGGCTCCTCATCCAGAGCAACGCAGCTCCCCCCTAAACAATGAGAAGCAGGCTCACACCCCCAAAAGCAGGAGAGAGACCCTGGGCTCAGGTGGAAGCTGCTGCCCATGGTCCCACATGAGACCTCCCCGCTCTCAGCCTGCCAGACGGAGCTGCAGAGGAGCCCTCCGGACTCGCAGCATGTCCCCGAAGCCCAGAGCATTGCTGTCACCTTCCTCAGTCACACAGCCACCCCAGTGCTCCCCACCCCGCTGCTCCTCCTGAGCATCACCCCAGCACTGAGCTCCTTTCTCCATGTCACTCATCACTCGGTGACACCCAGCTCCCCTTGTGTGGCACAAAGGGCTCTTGGGACTACGGGGTCCCAGCCAGCAGCATCCCCCTCCAGCCGATGCCAGTTGCAGCTCCCCAACCCAAACCCAGTCTCAGGGTACAGGCAAAGACAGAGATGCCCTGGTGCAGGCAGGAGTAGGATCATGTGCGTAAATGGAAACCCTTCAGCCAGAGAAAGAAACGAAAAATAAGTTAAAACCCAAAGATTACCAAAAGGAAGCGTTAGTGAGAGCAGGACAGGGACAGAGCAATGCCCATGCGCGCAGGGCTCTCATCAGCCTGCATCCAAATGGCAGCTTCTGAGAGGGTCACGCCAACTTGTAACTGATTATAAGAAAGCTTCAAATTTAGGAGCAAGCTCTATTTAGTACTCAGAACTTTAACACCAAATAGCCCCAAATATGCCCTTTTCTTCTGCCCTAAATAGTTCTTCGAATTGCTACTCACTAGCCGGGTCTCAGGAGGTCACAGGAGGGGCTCAAGCAGAATCCTCCTCTCGAGCCCTCCGAAACCCGCAGCCAGCATCTCCGAGGGATGCCTGGATGTGCTTGGTAGAGCCACACGGCCAACAGTCTAACCAACAGCTTTACCAAGCTTAGGCAGGGGACACTGGGACCTCGGCCCCAAGCCACCTCCAGCCCAGCTGTCCCTGGCCCCAGGCCCAGGGCAAGACCCACAGCACCCACCCCGGGTTCTTGGGGCTGCCAAGGTGGGTTTGGATGGTGATGGGGTGTCCGCTATATGGAGGGGAGCAGCACAGTAAAGGCAGGGGTGGATGCCAGGGGTGTGGGTGGGGAAGGTGTGAGGGGTGGAAAATGATGCGAACATCATCTCAGCTTCCCAGGGACCATCCCCTCCCCACCTTGTCTGGCTCCTAGGCTGCCTCCAGGCCCTGTTCGCCACCAGATGATGGACACCACTG